CTATAAATAAGATAACGTAATAAAAAAATTGTCATAAAATAAATGTTTACCTCAATTTAAAATGGAAAAAGATTTCATTAGAAAAAGACCTAATAAATAAATTGATAAAAAAATATAAAATCTGAAAAAGGCAAAGTGCAGCAGATCAGACGTATATGGCGGTGGCCATCTTTGATTTTTAGATGGTGACCTTTCTTACAACTACATGCAGCCTCACGCCAAAATGAAAATCAGTAACTCATTTATTTTTGAAGTTATCCAGCTCACAAGATGAACAGGAACAGTATTTCCAATTCCAATTCCCCAGTTCGCTTCGCAATGAGGGACAAAAATATACATTTCTGCCTTGATTGGTTTTCCCTGGCAGCACTCACTGAGATTTAATTTCCTCTGTAGTAATGATGCATTTTTGGAAAATTGTTTCTATTATATAGATCTGTCAGTCTCACATTTTYATCTTAAAAGTAAAAAGGTTTTGTGGAAACAATTTCTCTTTGACGTTGATGATTAAAGTTTTCCAGAAGGGGTTTAACTTGAATAAAATTTTTGTTTGTTTTTTTGTGGAAAAACAAGAACTTTTTTGTTCTCAATTTCTGCTGTAGAACAAAATGAATGTGGAATTAAATGATTATTTTTTAAATCCAACTTCCAGCAGCTGTTATTAATACATTTATAATATTTGAAATAGTCTGACTATAATCTTTCACAGACTAAAAYGGCTACTCTTTAACTTGAAAGGAGCAAAAAAAGCGTTGTTCAATTTCTACGACATGAAGTGTAAAAATGTTGATTTTCGTAGATTTACGAATTTTACAAAAAATAGATAACTTTGTTACAGAGAATATAACGAGAAAATGCAAATGAATATTTGTCTCAACACTAAAAACACGTCTCTATGTTTGCAGGCGGAGCGTAGCGGCTGCGACGCCAACATCCTCAGCATCCCGGTGCCCATTCGCCGTGGCGGCTCAGAGTCCAACTTGGATGTGGTCGACAGCGTCGGCCGGGATGGCGTCGGTGTTGATTTCACTAAAGGAGCGCTGGGCATCGACATCCTGCAACAGAAGATCCTCAAGGTGAAACGATGGCCTGCTTTTATACTGCGAACCAGCCAGAACGTTAGGTTCAAGTTTATGTTTGGGARCAGACGCACGTTAAAGTAATGAGGGAAAATCTTTCTGTTCCTCTGGTGTGATCGCAGGTGACGGARCAGATTAAGGTGGAGCAGACAGCGCGGGACGAGAACGTGGCCGAGTACCTGAAGCTGGTGACCAGTGCCGACAAGCAGCAGGGCTCTCGGGTACGTCAGGTGTTTGAAAAGAAGAACCAGAAGTCGGCGCAGACCATCGCCCGGCTGCAGAGGAAGCTGGAGCAGTACCACCGGCGCATGAAGGACGGCGAGACCAACGGCAAACACAGCCACAAAGATGGCGGCGGCAAAGAGTCTGGGACTCACAGTAAAGAGGGCAGCCTGCGGGACATCAGCGGCACCGGGCGGCACCCGGCCGTGGATAAAGTCAAAACCATYGGACCGGGCGTGTCGCTCTCGCCGCCGTTCTTCTTCAACAAGCCTCGGGAGTTTGCCAACCTCATCAGGAACAAGTTCGGCAGCGCGGACAACATCGCCCACCTGAAGAACTCCATGGAGACGGGCTCGGGGCTGCACGCCGAGGGCGGGACCAGGGGCCTGAGCGGCAGCGCCACGACGGTGGCCAAAAGCACCAAGTACCAGAGCGACGACGAGTGCTCCACGGGGACGTCCGCCTCAGCTGACTCCAACGGGAACCCAGCGGCAGAGTCAGGGTCTGGAGGACCCGGGAGGTCGGAGTCCAGCGGGCGTCTGGTGGAAGTGCTGGACATGGTGCAGGAGATCAGGGAGGCTCAGACTCAGCTGGCAGAGGACATCGAGTCCATGAACACACAGTTCAAAAGAGACTACAGCTATTTTACACAGGTGATGCAGGAGGAGAGATACAGGTGAGCAGCTGTGAACCATCCTCAGCTGTAAGTGTCTGTTGTTAAACTGTTTATAGTCCTGAGGGTTTCTCCTTCTCTTGATGTGACCCAGATCATAACAGAACATATTATCTGTATTTATGAGCTTCATCCAGGGTTTTGACAGCTGAAGTAGCTGTCAGAGCTCAGACACAAAGCAGGCTGTTCCTAATAAACTCCTGCACAATTTACTGCCCACACACAGTCTTAATGATGGATTGTTTCTGGCTCTGTCCTCGGTGCTTGGCCTGTTGTGTGTGTGTGTGTGTGTGTGTGTGTGTGTGTGTGTGTGGCAGGTATGAGCGCTTGGAGGACCAGCTAAATGACCTGACAGAGCTCCACCAGCACGAGAC